GCGAGGCGCTCCTGGCAGCGCCGTGGCCCAACAACGGGGACCCAGTGCCCACAGAGGGCTCCCTCTCCCCGCCCGCGGCTGGCGGTGAGCACCCAGCATGGGGTGGGCGAGCGGCGGAGGGAGGAAAGCTAAAGCTCTCTGTGAAATCTCTGCCAAAAATATATTTAAAATGGGTAAAAACCCACTGTATGGGCAGAGGGGAAACCGGCCGAGGAGGAGGAGGGGCTGCACCCCGACGCCGGGGGAAGGAATTTTAATTTTTGTCTGCATTTAATAGAATCATGGGATAGTTTGGGAGGGGAAAGGACTCTTTAAAGGCCATCTAGTCCCACGAAAAGGGACATCTTCACCTCCAGCGGGTTCATCCGAGCCCCGTCCAGCCTGGCCTGGAGCGTTCCCAGGGATGGGCCGTCTCCCACCTCTCTGGGCAACCCGGGCCAGTGTCTTCGCCGCCTTCCCTGTGGTTCCACCGTCTCTTTCTCACACTCCCTAATGCTCCTCGACCTTTCTGCCTCCTCCTCCAGCTCTGCCACCGGGCTGAGCGGGTCGTCCCTCTGCTCACACCGCTTTTTTCACCGCTGCCATCCATCACGTCTCCGCAGCCGCACACCCGGCTGGCTGCATGGCTCAGTGGGAGCTCTGTATCTATTTTAATTGCCAAAGAGTTAATTTTCCCTAAATTGGGTTTGTTCTGGCTGGGCTGGCAGCTGGTGAGCGACCTCCCTGTCTTTATCTCGACCCACGGGGGCTTTTTTTAATCCTGTTTTCTCCCCCCCTTCCTGCAGAGGGGCAGTGGGTGGGCATCGGGCTGTTGGCCAAGGGTGACGTGGAGCTGCTGGTCTTGGACTGGGAGCTGGTGGCCACGCTGGGGACGCCACGTCTGTCCCCTTCCGCTCCACCATTCGGAGCGGTGTGGCTGATCCTGCCCCGGGGTTTTGCTGCTTTGTCCCTTCCAGGTGTCACCTCGCTGGACACTGTCCTCAAGCTCCTGAAAGATGCTTTCAACTGCATCAGCCACTGCCCTCCCGGTGCGCTCTACAGCCAGCTCTGCCGGCTCCTGGCGTTGGCCGTGGGCAACCAGGACCCTCTCTCCACTGCCTACCTCCTCTCCGAGTCCGTCTCTGTCACCGTGCGCCATCAGCTGCTCAGCGTCATCCACAGGAAGATTTAGTGAGTCCCTCGGGTCGTCCTGTTCGATATGTTCCTTTAAGGACCTGCATGAAGGGATGGAGGGTCTCCACCAGCGAGTTTGCTGGTGACACAGCACTGGGAGGGGTGGCTGACACACTGGAGGGCTGTGCCGCCATCCAGCGTGACCTGGCCAGGCTGGATGGAGAGTTGGGTGGAGAGGAACCTCATGAAGTTCAACACGGGCAAGTGTGGGGTCCTGCATTTGGGGAGGAATAACCCCATGGACCAGTACAGGTTGGGGGCTGACCTCCTGGAGAGCAGCTCTGTGGAAAGGGACCTAGGAGTCTTGGTGGCCAACAGGATGGCCACGAGCCAGCGATGTGCTCTGGTGGCCAAGAAGGCCAATGGCATCCTGG